TCAGGTTTGAGTGGCCTGGGGTAGGGGATGCCACAGATGAGCATTGCCGGGTGCCTCGGCTACTTCCTTATGGCTGCATCGCCCCGTGTTAAAGCAGATGCATTTGCAAGGCTCTGTAAGCAGCAAGTGAGAAACACGTTGTATGAGTGAGGTGGGGTTTAGATGCTGCTTGTGGAAGGATTCCACAGGCTTGTGGTCAGCCCCTGTGTCTGCAGGGAGCAGCCCGTCAGGCTGGGCAGTGCGGCAGCAGTCACTAGTCTTGGTTTCCTCATGTGTATTTCTTCAATGCATCTCAGCTAGAGCTTTATTGGCTTTTCCACGGACACATTAATTCACCAGTGAATCCTACATTTCCTTTGGGTTTTTTTAAATCATCTGTATATTATTTTCTCCTAAATGAAACATTTTCCACAGCCATCTCTGCACAGAGCTACCATGACATTTGTTTCTTCATAATTGAAGTGTCTCTAAATCCTATGTCGTTTGTAGTGGTCAGGGGAATAAAATCACCACTTTTACTCTATTGAGTAAAAAAAATCACCACTTTTAACTCTATTGAAAAGAGCCTCACATCTCCAAGCACAATCATTTTTCATAGAATCATTATAGAATCATTTAGGTTGTAAAAGACCTTTAGGATGATCGAATCCAAAGTAATTTTTGTGGTGGAGTGTTACCTCCTGTGCAAGGTGCAGTGTTAGGCAATGGGCCTCCTCTGTCTCTGGATCAGAAGCGGTTGTTACTAACATCATGTGCTACTAACACATTAAACCTCAAAACCAGCCGGGGGTTCTAGGTAGGCTTCTCTGTATCCTTCATTTTGGCTAAAGGGGGATGGATGGATATTTTATGTGACTGTGCTAGCAAATGCTGTCTTCACTGTGAAATTCACTTCTAGATGGGCAAGGAAGTAAAAAGCTTTAACCTTTTCTCCAAGCAGTCATGGAAAACTAATTCTGTACAGAAAAAAAGTGCATTTTGAGGTTGTGTTTGTCAGCAGGAGGAGCTGACCATGCAATGAACCTGGCACATTTGTTATAATTCTTGGTGGATAAGGTAAATATATTTCTTGTGACTAATGGCTGCGTTTCCTTGTCTCTTTCTGCTTCCTGAGAAAATGTTTTGCTGAAAACATATTGTATTAGGAATTATTTTTGTGCCTGCCCCTCCTGTCATCCCCCCCTGCTCCCCCGTCCCTTGTCAATGGTTGTCAAAGAGTGAAGCTGGGCAGCCTGTGTTCATGTGGTATATGTGCTCCTTCACCTCTCGGACCTCTGAAGGCTTGCACTCCAGCCAAGGTCCAATGCACAGCTGGGAAAGGACTGCTTTTTGGATGTGTGATACAAAACCATGTAATGTCAGCTTGGTTTATTTTCAGCAATGGGGAAGACCCACTGAAGTCTGGTGAGTCCCTGCTCACTGTTCAACCTTACAGCGAATGGACTTTACCATGACAGCCATTGCAGGCAAGCCCTAAACCAAAATGCCAGCTGCTTCCAAAGGACAGAGCTCTCATAAGAGCTTGAGCCATGATACAAAGCTACGTCCAAATGTTGATAATCTCCTAAAATGTCTTTGCACTCTTGAAAGTGATCGGTCCATGCATCTGTTTTTCTGCAGTCCAGATGGTAATCTACCTCCGACTTGATGCAAACTGACAAAGCCCCTGCTTGTCTTTTTTGTTTTAAACCTGACAATACCTCTCTAGTGAATTATAGTTTCTGGAATTGCTTCATTTTCTATTGTACTCCAGTTTTCAGTCACAGAAGCTGAGCTGTCTTCAACTCTGGCTCCAACATACGCGAAATGGATTAGCAAAGTCTAACTAAGGTTAACTTCTCTGTACGTGGGAAAATACTGTTCTTTCTGTGTCTTTCTAAATATCTCTGTCCCTTTCCCCACCCTTTCCTGTATTATCACACACAGATTGGCTATTTGTTCTTCAGCAGCTACTGTTGTTTCCTAGTGTCTTTGCACTATTAAGAAGTTTCATGCCAAATGTAGCATAGACAAAATTCTTGAAAATCAGGGCCTGAAGCTACCTCTGGAATAGCAAATTACTTTTCCATAACTATCTTCACAAAAGAAAACCAAATGTCCCACTCGAAGCCTTCCTGTCTTTTACTGGCTTTTAAATTGAATAGCTTTTCCTGTAGATTTGTATTCATTCACTGCATTAATACTAGTCCCGTAATTGCCACGTCCTGCACCAGAACATAACGTGTCTGTGTGGTTGCAAAGAGGTGCCTCTGACAAAGAACAGATTGAACTAAATCACTGACAGAGATGCAGGTTGTAGCATTTCCCTTCTCCTCACTGGTGTAAAATTCAGATTCTCTCTGTAAAAATAGTCATACTTGTCTATTCAGATTTTATTCGTGCTGAGGTTTGTGCAGAAGAGTGTTTACAGAGGACTAAGCATCTCTTCAGCATTTTTATTCTTCATCATAGTTATGATTTAATATAGTTTATGGTAAATAAGATTCTTCCACATCATAACTTATTACTGTCTACATGGTAAACTGAATCACTACCTACTAAGAAGTTTCCCCCCAGTTTATCATTTATCACTAGCAATAATTAACAGTTGACCCAGATCCTCCATAGTTTCTTCCAATCATCCTTAAGAGAGCTGCCTATGAAATGAGAATCACTTCCAGAATTTAGTAAATAACCTGAACAGTGGGGGATGGTGGTCTCTTATACACACTCCCAGCAGATAGAAGAAGCTTTTGTAGTGCAAAAGGTATTGTTCTCAGTGGAGGCATCCTGAGGAGTATTCACGTCACAGGTCTTTAAAACAGGAGCTATCATTCCTACAGGACTTTTGTACTGTGATTGTGCTTTTTACTATGTTGCTTGTAAATCTTGAAAGAGCACTAAAATATGGGCCTTTCAGAGTATTTACACTCATTACATCTTGTACAACAGCATGAAAACCAAGCCTCTTTCCTCTTAACTTCTTGCTGCATTCTCTACTTGTGCGATGTTGAGGGATGTAATGGAAATAGCAAACACAGAGATGTTCATTGGTTGGGTGATTAAGTATGCAACTGTTTATCCTGGTTAACTAGGTAGTCAAGTGTTTGTACAGAAGTTACACTGGGTAAACCGATGCTGCCCTTTCCTTCACTGCAAGGACACTGTGTCCCCTCTGCCTGCTGGGCTGGGTGTGTGCACCAGCTGTGCTGAGCAAGGTGCCACCCTCGAAGCAATTGTGCTGTGTGCAGATAATGCCCATGTGCCAAATGTGAAAGGAGATCTCCAGGAGCCTACTGGCATCAGAAATAGCCCAATGTACTGTAAATCCCTCTATTCCTCCCCAAAATGCAAACCCAACCCTAAACATTATGAAGAAAATAGGGAAAAAAGTCACATTCCTTTTCTGAATGAGTGTTGTGTGAATTCCTCTTCAGCAAGGACAAAGGAAATAAAAACTCAAGGCAATGAAAATATAGGTCTCTGCTCAACTTTAATCTTTCATCTATGTTTGCTTCTCAAAAGGTTTTCAGTTAGCTAAAAATGCAGTTAAAGTCTTAATCATTCCTCTAAACTGAAAAGGTGATTTTTCTTTCCCATGTAGTTTTTTAAGCTTATGTTATTGATTGTTAAATATGAATATAATTCCCCCCCTGCTTTTTCTTCTTTGGTGAGCTGTGGTTAGCCTCACTGCCATGGTTTCCTGGAAACAGCCACACAGCTGCAGCATAAAGTCCTCTCTGCAAACATTGCCCTAAAGAAAAAAATACAAGTCTGCTAATACGAAATCCTACTTTGGTGTGGCCAAAATCTAAAATTCTAAAAGAAACTGTAACATCTTACATGGCATTAGCCAAAGAAAACTGTCTTCAGAGAGAAAACTGGAATAATATAAGGAAACCCATTTCCCAGTATATTGAGGTTTTCTGTAAGTAAATGCGTAAGGCCTGAAGAAAACAGTTTAAATCACAATCTTCTTGGAAAACCTCTGGATTTTAACCATGTGTGAATATTGCAGGTATGTTATTACTGAAAAAAAATAAAGAAGGAAAAGTTCACATTGAAATGTTCAAACTGGCAGCTAAAAAAAATCCAAAATGTGGCACTAGAAAGATGCATTTCTTGCGCTGTCCCATTTTATTAGGCAAATGAAAACTGTAAAGGATCATCAAAGTCTCATGCTTCAAACGCAGCCCTCCAAAGAGAAGGAATTTCCACAGATGTGCAACTTCCCTTTCCACAAGTGTGCAAGGGTTGAGCTCCCTTTTTCTTTCTAGCACATCATATTAGCCATGGGCATCCCAGAGAAGGATGCTGTACTAGGCTGAATAAATAAGCTTAATAGAGAAGCCTGAAATCCAGAATCAGTAGATTAGGTGAAAGGGATCCAGTATCCTGATCTAAACATTAACTTTAGATACTCTGAAGGAAGAAGAGGGGAAAATTGTATTAGTACAGATGAGATTTGTCACATATCCTTCACTACACAGGATGATCCAGATGCTCAATGATGTGTGAGCATTTTTTCTTTACTCTGTATTGTACCTTCATGTAGGACAACGTAGGGATTGTAAGAATTACTCCACATGTTACTATCATCTTCCTGGTTTGCAGTGCTGAATGTAAACATGCTCCAAACAAAACCCGTCACAGGCACTTAAGAACAGATTCCTCTTGAAGGTCCTCTGTATAGCTTGTAAAGTGTCCTCCCAGTATTGTGCTAGAACTACAGGCTTGCAGATAATCCATCCTAATGTTTTCTTTAAGTGTTTGTTTGGTTTAAATTTGACTCTTCATAGCTTTATCTTACAGTTCCTTTGAATTCTTGTGATTTAGTGCAATGGGTTTCATTTTATGTAAGAGCAGCAGCAGAAGTCCTTGGTTAGTGTCTGGAGGAAGACAAGGTTAAATTCTGTATTGAGATATGATTCGTGAGCCGAGAGACTACTTGATACAAAGAACCAACAACAAAAAAAACCTAACTCCCAAAAGCCCAGAACTTTGAATGAGGTAAGAAGTGTTCATTGGGAAAGAGAACTCAGGATGTACGTAAGCATCAGGACCAACATTAAAACCTTAGCAGCAGGCAGGAGCGTGCTGGCACTGGACCAGTACACCTTGCGCTCATTCAGGAGCTGAACAGGCCGGAAGTTTTCGGTCATGTAAGTTGAGTTCCTCCCATCAAAGTGGAGTGCTGAAAACTGAGAAATCTGCAGACATAAAAGAAAAAGATTGTTAAATCCTTTTTCCACAGAACACTGTGGAGAAGGGGTAAATTCTGGTGCTATAAATCTGCAGTGCCTTAGTCTGGTTTTAAACTGTACGGATACATAAACCTTGCAGGAAACAATGTGATGGAGGCTATTGCCAGAGGTCACCAACACATGACTTCTTTTAACCTTGGAAATTGTGGGCACTTCCTTTCTGTGTGAGCCAAACACTTTGTCCAGCTCAAGGGCCTGGTTATACCAGTCCTCTTGACGCACATAGTCCTGTCCTTGTCCATCACATCCCAGTGACACCAAGAGTATTAGGATTTCTTTCTTTGCTTCAGATTCCTGACTGTTGCATCATGGTGCTGGCCCAGAGCAAGCAGGTGCTCACTCTTGTGTCCTGTGCTATGCTGGCATGTGTGTGGCTGAGCACTGCCCTGTGGCTGAAGTGATTAGGAGCACAACTCAAGTAAGGAACTAAACCACAGCTGCTGGCTGTTGGCCAGGCTGTGCTGGCTGCAGTTCTGCTGAGAGTCCATACCAGGACATCCGAAGTTTTTGATCCTGTTAGCTGAACAATCTGTATTTTCGAGGCAGTCATGATTCAGTCTCCTGTTCCAATCTCTAGGACAAAAATGGGTTGCTTAAAGCTGATGCTGATAGACTCAAAGTTTGGATTTTGCAGCATTCTGTTCTGGAAACCTGATATGGCATTAGGAGAAAAGCAGTGAGACTTGGGAGTGAGCAGATGACAGCAGTGGAAGTGCTGCTGCTGAAGCACTGAGCTAGGTGTTTATCTGTGGGGTTTCTTTGGCTTTCTTTTCACATTGTCATTTCCCCTTCCTCCCATTTTTTGAGCGACGATTTAACAGGGTCAAAAAGCTGCCACGAGGGACTCTGTTTTGGCTAATGTCAAGCACATGTGTGTGTCATAGGAAGAAAGCAGCAGAGCTGCTAACAAACCTAGGTTAAATTGTGTGACTGAGCAGGCATCCGAAGGGGCAAACAACCATCAGCAGATCATCCAGGCTACCCCTCTGTGACTTACCTGAGAAAAGCTGAGTTCAATTGGCTTCTCAAATATGGTCCAGGTGACACCCTCGTAACAGTCAGGAGTGGTGAGGGAGCCCTCATACCGATAGTACCTTCCAAGGTCTTCCTCAGGCGGGAGAAGAGAACTCAGTGGCAAAGGGTCCATCTGTGTCGTTTGCCCTAGACAAACCACGTGGAAATGTCTCTTGTAACAAGCACAGCTCTGGGTATTGTTCACAGTTGTCCTCAGATGTGGCTACGTAAAGCCCCATCCCCACACACGCTCCCCACGCCACCCAGGGCAGCCACACTGCGCTGCTTGTGAATCCCTGGGTGCCAGCTGCAGGATCCCACCCAGCACAGCTCACACACAGCTCTGTTAACACTCTGCATGTTTTGCTTCTCACTGTGTTTCCTTCTTGTGGAAGCAGGAAGACTCATTCTGGTCCTGGGTGGGGGTTCTTCACTGCAAATATGGAGAACTAGATTTTCTCCCATCTGTGATGCTCTGAGTTCTTGACAAACTTTTATCTTTTGGCTTTGACTTTCAAGTAACAGTATCTACTGTAAGTATAACAGGATTGGACCATGAACTAGCTGGTAGTATATGTGCTCAAAATAAATACCTGTTGTGTTTTGACCAACACAAGTGTCTTACCTTTGTATTTAATATTCTCTAATTCCTTGACTAGAGTTGCATAGTTTTTATTTTCTTCTTCAACCTGAAATGGAAATACGTTGATTCCAAATCATGCATTTCCCAACAACTGGTTGCTTTGAATTAATTGTGAATAAGATAGAAAAGAACCATAAGGCTAAAAGATAACAGCAAGCAGAATACAGGAAAGGGTAAAGGAACTAAGTGCTGGTCCTGATGCTTGCAGAAGATAGAGAGGCTGAGGTCTTGGACTATCATAACATTAACACAATCGACGACTCAGCCAAGTTGCTGCTAGATTTGAGCTGGGCAGTTAAAAACCTGGCTACATACCTTTACAAAGAATGCCAACACAGCCACACCATCTGCACTTTTCTTCGCTTCTGTTATATCCGCAGCATCTTCTCTTATGTGGACAACATGAAGCTGTAACACAACAGTAAAGGCCAATTATTGTTCATTTTCCTCTACAGTTCAGTGGTGTGAATGCAGCCTGGTTGCTTCTCTGCACCTGCGCTGCAGCAGGGCCTGAGCTGCTTGACTGGTCACAGGCTGGGAACCAGCAGCTCATGGTCCTTGGCCTGAGGCAGGAACTATGCAATAAGTAGGCTATAATTTGATACAAACATTCATCAACAATGATTTCATGGGTTTCATGGATTTTTACGTCCTGGTTTGAAAGGGGGGTGGTTTTCTTCCACCAATCCATGTGTATCAGCACTGGCAATTTGTCTTGCCTTGAAGAGAATATTTTGGTTGCATAGGTCAATTCATGGCTGCAGTCCCAGAAATTAATATATAATCTGGATAAGCAGTCTGAGAGCGTAATCGCTGTATAGACTTTGAAATAGTTCTCCTCCCAAAAGGTTATATAACTCCAGATTTATCGTCTGGCCTGTGCCTTTGCAAAAGTAGTGTGTGTCCTGATGTTTAGCAGTTGTCCTTTGGTTAGCAAACAAGATGTCCTCAGTTCTTTATCTCTATTGTTGAGGTTTCGTAAGAGCCAATGATTTTTGTGCACCAGTATCTTAAATGGCCAAAGTTGTTGAGTAAAAGCAATAATCCAAAACCAGTCTCACCTACCTCCATGGCTTCTTTTTCTCCATCTATGCTGTGCTCTGACCCAGGAAGGTATGTCTGCATATCCAGGACTCCCCAGTGCAAATGAAATTCTATCGCCTTGTATTTTCTTCCCAGACCTCCACCTCCAATTTTAGGGGATGAGCTTAATGCTACTTTAACTGGGGAAAACAAATAAGTTGTTAGAAAAACCCCAAACAGATCATACATTAATAGTGCAGGAGAGTAGAGAGATGTACGTTCTTGAGATTCAAATTTATCCTGAAGTTCTGAGTGTTCCAGAAGCTGAGCACTGACAAAGGCATTTGGGCATCCCACTATGGCAGAGGACATGGAGCTTCTGTTCCCATTTCTACCTCTGATTTGCTCTGTGGACTCGAATGACTTGTGTAGAGCCTTATTGCTGGCGAGCTGAGCTACCCATTACCTCACTTGAATAAGTAACATAAATTTGATGATACTTGTTTCCCTTTGTAAAACAGAGGAAAAGGACAGAGAACGGCTTTGGATTGTTCCAGGGAAAGGGGTTTATAGGCTTTTATGGCATCCACTGGTGTATCCTTTGGAGTATCATCAACTAATTGCATTTGGAAGAAACCAGGGTAATGGACAGTCTTTCCTTAATTGCACTGAGGGGATTTGTAGGGATTTGTTCACTGCCATTATAACCCCAGGAGTCAGAGCTACTCAGACCTTTCAGAAGACCCTATATTCTTTCATTTATTGTCTAGGAGAACACCCTGTATCAAAGTATTCTTAAAAGCAAACTTGATCATGGTTTATTTGATTTTTAAGCATCTTTTTATCTTCTATCATCTGCACTGTAACATTTGTTTTAGTCAGGTTTTAAAGATATTCTTATTGAGTTCAGTGTTGCAACTTAAGCCTAAGCATCTAATTCATTATATCTATTTAAAGTAATGCTTGATCTGTTGTTAACAGCAAAACAACATTTTCTTAGGAGCTATTTTTCCAGTTACAGATCACCATCACTCCCTGTGCTTGAGACATCTGTGATATATTTTATAATGTTAAGACCTCTACATTAAGCATAGTACTTCTCTTTCCATAGGAAAGGCTGCATTAACCTGGATTGAAGCCCCAGAGATTTCATTTCTGTTCTGAATTCCAAATGAACTGGAAGCTTGTATGAGTCAGTTTTCTTTTTTATATGTAAATGGATGAGTAACATATCTTTGTGGGCTTTGTTTATTTAGATTGTAGGACCTTGGAGACACTGACCTTTGCTGTCTGCACATCATAGAACATAATGACAGCCTTATCTCACGCAGAGCTTCTAATTGCAGCTGTAATTTAAGCAATAACAGTTCCAATTTTGTACTCATTTTATCACAGGAATTGGTTACCCTCAAAAGGAAGAAATTTTAAAAGCCTGGATTGAAAAACTAATTCTTTTGCATGGCTGCAAAGTTGAAAGATCTGACCCATCCTTATGAACGTGAGGTGGTGTGTAAAAGAGATTTCTATGCACCGCCACTGTAATAGGGAGATTCTAGAATATCATTCTGTAATGGAAAAGCCCATATACTAGTGGAAAGTCAAAATATGTCTTTTTCTTATGATCTGTCAAAATACTGATGTTCTAAACTAGAATCTCTGGCCGTGAAAACCTACCCAGCTGTTTGCCTTCTTCCCTTTTCCATTCTACGCTAAGGAAATATTTGCCATTTGCAACTTTCCACTTTAGGGACTTAGCTGTTTAAAAAAAACCCCAAACATCAAAGATTTTAAGAACACCTATAGAATCATAGAATCCCAGACCTTAAAGCTCACCCAGTTCCAACCCCTTGCCATGGGCAGGGACACCTTCCACTAGAGCAGGTTGCTCCAAGCCCCTATGTCCAACCTGGCCTTGAACACTGCCAGGGATGGGGCATAGAGAGATGTTGTATATAAATAACATTAAAAAGGAAAAAAAAGGATAACAGATTTATTTCTAAAGGTAATTTAGTATAATATTGTTGAAGTGCCATCATTAGTACTGTTTTTAGTGAAGAAAAGTGGAGGAAGTAAACCAGCTTTAAATCACTATTCACTGATTCACTGTTTACTGATTTGCTGATCACTGAATCACTGTTTACTGAATCAGTAAGGAGCTGATCAGCAAACTCCCATTAGATGATTACTTCTGAGTGCAGAGAAAACAGGTTGAAATCTAAGAAGATTTCAGCTCGTTATTAAAGAACTAGTAAGACACACATGTTGTGAGCCACTGGTTGAATGGCTTTCTCAGATTATGCTCCTCTTCAGCAGAACTCTTCTTTGTGCAGAAGCAAGGGGCAGAAAGGTCAAGCCCAGAAATGAAACACATAGGAGCATTCAGCAGAAATCGTACACCTCTGCCAACCCCGTTGTCCTGAACCCCTGCACTTCCCACTTCTAGTCCTAGCAGTTGTTTGATCTAGACGTTCCCTGAACATCTTGAGTTCTGTTTCTGCACATGCACAGAACCACTTTTCTGCTGAGATACTCAAGGGCTGCTTCCAGAACCCAAAAACTAGGTAACAACTCCCACAAAGTTCCCAGAAAGCCTTGGTTCAGAAGGTGTTCTGAAAGTTTAACTTCTGCAATACAGGGGTGCTATCTTATTTTTGCTTACTTGCTTTTAAGTAGCAGTAGTTATATCTAATCTTGCCCACGGTGAATGGATGGTCCCAAGAAGAGGAACAAATAAATCCCATGACAACATATTTGACAGCACTTGCCTGTATGTCCATTGTTTTCTATGTTCCATTTTGAAGACTCCTTCACATCATATCCTTCAAAATTCAGTGGCTTAAGGTTCTTGTTGTAGATGACATTTTTGGTGACAATATTGATAGGTGACTGTTTGTTCCCTTTGCAGTTGGCATCTATTAAATACCATTGTTGAGGAGCTGTTTAAGGAGGAAGAAAATAATTTCTTTCTGTAAACTGCAAATCCTTGATAACCCCAAACCACCCAACAGTCAATTTGTTCTTGCTTGGGAAACTGGGGACATCTTTGAAGAAAAGGTCTTTGGATGTTGGAATGTAATCCCGCAACTTTCTTAGTGTATCATTTTTGTAGTCTTAAAATATTCATAGATCATAATATGTTAAAATACTAATACTTTGTAGCATTATCCATGGTTGAAACAAAACTAATATTTAGCCCATAACACTGGTATCTTCAAAATACCATTCTTTAGGTGTCCTATATAGCACTTACATCTACACTTAACGTGATCATGCAGCATTAAATGCTGAGTTGTGTGATTTTCTGCATTATTTCTATCAAGAAGCCCTTTGCAAAACAGAAGAATCCAAACACTAATGTGATTGGGAAAATGAATTGTTCAGCAGTACCTTTGCAGTGTGGCTGTGCACACTTCTGTGACTGATAGCACCACTGGTGTCCAACTGCAAAGACAATAAAGCCATCAAATATTAACAATCAGCTGAATGAAAAGCTGCAGAAATTGTACCCCCCCACCAAAGCAGATGTGAGATGGATTTGTAACCTGTAATCCTCACACAGTGATGACAATGTCTTGGTGTTGTCTGCCCAATTTTATTAGAGAAAGATGTTTCATTTCTTAAATACATGAACAATGGCTGGTGAGAGGTGGGTGCTTCAAGCTGGAAAGAAATCTTTAGTTGCTAGAGATTTCTTAGCAGTATGAAGTGCACCATCCAGCTGGGTTTTAGTACCAAATAGTCCAGAAGAAAGCATAAGAATCCTGCAGCGGGCAGCTCTGGCCTCTCTCTAGATCTCCTGTTTATTGGTTTATACCTGTCAGCATTCCTTACAAAAACTAGCAGGAAGCATTAGAACTCTAGCTAGGTTGCAGTTCTGAATAATGTGGGTTTGAAACCTTGGCTTCGGTAGCTTCTTGAGGCAAAAGTTCCATTTCTGAATATATGCAGTGTTAAATAAATTTCCTTTTATCAGTTCTGCACTTGCCATCCTTTGACATACTTGTAAATTCACTTATGCAGGATGACTTCTCTCACTCTGTTCCAGAAACTATGTTAAAAATTACTTTGTGCAATAAGGAATTTTAAGAAATGAAGGATCTCATTTCCCAAAAGACATGAAGAATCTTTAACTCAGCTGAGCTGTGATCCCACACAGATGGTTGCAGAGTTTTTCAATAGAACATCTTAATCTTACTTTTTCATTGTCAGAAGAAATATGAAATTCAGAGGAAGAGCTGATTTAACTGAAGTATCTAGTCAGGAAAATAAGGACTAACATACATATGCTTCAGTGGCTGTTTATGACAGTTGCAAGGTTCAAATGGACTTTAACAGGAGCAGTTCTCTTTGCTATTTAATCAATAACAATTCAAAACCTCTTATAATCATGATTCTGTTTGCCTATGGTTAGTAAATTATAGACATTTTTGTCAACGGCTAATCAATTCTAGTGGTTATTATGGAGGAGACCTGTCATTAGATTGCTAATTGCCATAATTTGTGATCTTTTATAACACGTCTGCCGGAAGTCTCATAACTGCTTTTAACACCTTCCTATCAGTAGCACAGCAATACCATCCATCTAGTAAGTAATTAGCAGCTCTAAGTAGATAAAAAATGTGACTAGTTGTAACGACGGAGGGACACTTGGGCGAGCTTGTAGCCTTGATATTATCTTGAAAAAATGAGACTGTTTCGGTTAATCTCTCACAAAAGTTAAATTTATGCTGAAAACTCTGAATAACGTTGACTCACTTTCTAGTTTAGCAAATGTTTAGTGATACTGAGAAGAAAAGTAAACAGCATTGCTACATTTGTGATGTAAGTGCACTGATTTCTACATTGTTGTGCCATTAATGTTTTGTAATCATCAAAAAACTGCTTTTGACAAGGATTTAGGTTTTGACACCCTTCAAACACACCCAAAATTTAGCTTTAGGACCTGCCATTTCTCAAATGGATTGTTGTACGTTTTCAGGCCTGGGTACACAAGACAGAGACCAGACCTCCAGCAGCGCGGAGCTGAGCGGCTTTTCACCTCCGCTGGGAAACAGCAGGACCACACGTTCCAAGCACAGAATGTCACCGAGTGCCTCAATCAGTATTTTAATCAATAAATGCCTACAAATGCCAGGTAAACCAGCCTTCATAGTGCTTGGTCGTGTTTCATATGTGTTAGTGTTTGCATGGATGAATGACTGCAGACATGTTTTTGGCAACTGCTCTAGACAAGTGGTCAGTGTGTACTTTAACAATTGCTGCACCAGCACCTTGTGATCGGGAGTGCTCTTTCTTTGTGAGTTATATTTGCATGAACCTTCAGGAACAAAAATGCTGCACTGCAGGAGCAACCTGCACACAAATATTTGAAGGTGGCAGCCTATATGCAGCATGAGAGGAGAGTTACCTGCAAAGGTTTGGTCTCAAGGTCTTTAGGATGTGAGTTAAACCTGAGAGGAAAGTCCTCAGGTGAGAAATGAAGGTCGATGACCTGGTCTGTTTACCATAAATTCTTGGAACAAGCTCTACTGTTCTGGGTTTGTACAGTACCTTGCACAACCGAAGTGTGACCATGGTTTAGACATCACAGCATTACTGCAATGCAAATCAAATTTTCCAGTCAATATGATTCACAGTCAGGAGTAAGTGCAACAAATTCATTGGGTTGTGGAGCTCTTGGGCCCTGAAAATCAAAGACAACCACAGGAACCACTGAGGGAAGGTAAATATCACCAAATCACATTGTCAGTGGTCCTGATGTGGTGTCTTTGCACCAGAAGAGTGAAATAATAGAAGTGGGTTATGGAACCTTTCATTGCTGCATCTGGGTCCGACTCCTCTCAAACAAAGCAACACTGGATCTCACTAGCAGATAGGTGTTTAGCAGGCTCTGTCAAATAAGCTTGTGCATTTCAATCATGCCTCAGTAGACTGAAGCATGACTACACTCAAAATAGTTCAGCCTGCACATCAAGATGATGGAGAGAAAGAGTTTAAAAAACTAAAGATAAAAGTAAAGAATCCAGCCTTCAGGTGGCCTCTGCTGCCTTACACCCAGCACTAGGAGTGTTCTTCCCTTCTTCTGTCAAACACAACACACACCAAATAATTGGTGTCTCTTTGCAAGCATTCTGCAAAATTCCTGTCTACAAACTAACAAAAATTAAGTGTTTTTCTATCAAGTACTTATCACAGTTGTGGTTTAGAAAGTCAGATGGTATCAGTGAAGTAGAACAGGTTATAAAGTCAACAGTTCCTAGGAAAAAGGTCCTTAAAGCTGTTAAACTTCAGTAAATGAGCTAATTAAACATTGCAGAATGCCCAAGCAAACAATGATTTAAGGTTCATTGTGAATCAGATTTTTCTTCTGGTTGGTGGTAATATAACATTAGAGAACAGCATCTTCTCTGCAGACTCTGCTCGGGAGGAACCAAACTGTTTCACTTCCAAGGATTTGGATCTGCATCTGGATTTTTTGAGTCAGCTGTGATTACTCCCTGCATATAGAGACCTTGCATTTACAATGCTCCTTTTTCCCCCTGGGCGTTATGGCTTTATTTCTGAAGCAAGATGGAAAGATACTTGTCACATCCAGTCAGTTGTCTCTGGTCTTAGGCATGATTATGCCCTATGGTATGTAGTCTAGTCTAGTTTTAATTGTCTGAGCGGCTCCTGCCACTTCCCTTAGGAGACTTTTCCACAGTCTATTAGCCTTCACTGTCAGGAAATGCTTCCTGTTGAATACCTTACATTTTCCACTTGCTTATCTGCATCCCATCAGTCCTAGAAATACCACTGAACCACCCTAAACAATTCTTTTCCCTCCCTGATGTTTACAGTATTCAAATATTTCCTTCATAATCTGTAATTCCTGTTCTTGCTTCATCCATCCTCTGCCCCATCTCTTGATATGCCCTTCACCTTTCCACCATTTCCCCTTCAAAGCTTCTCATCTCTCCCTCTCTGAAGCTCCTTTCTTACAGGGGCTCTGCACATCTCTGATCCCATCCTGCAGTCCTCTCACCTGACTGTTCTTTCCATCAAACCTCAGCTCCCCCATTCTTTTTCCTGTTGTTTATTTTATTACCTGGGAAAAATGCAGCAGAAAGTGGAGGTTTTTGTGGTTTGGGGGTTTTTGTTTGGTCTGTAATTGAGGTGCTGAAACCACTGCTGTGATACGAGCTGCCCTGGAGGGTTTCATAGCTTACTCCTTGCTTAGTATTAGATACTAGCCAGGATTTCCAAAAGCTCCTTGCCTAATTGGCATTAAATAGAGACATATGCACTGTTATCATGATTGGAAGTAATATATTTCAGTATATATATATATATACACACACCATTGCTATATTATCAACTGTATCTGGCTATTAAATCAAGAATCCATAATACAATGTAAGTGGTGATGCACCTTGACTTTACTGGGGTTTAGTTTAGAGTAGGGCTGAACTGGGCTGAAGGCCTCCTCTTCCTTCTCAAAGTTCAAGACAGTTAAATTTAGGGAGTCTCTGGCAAGTAAGCCGTCCTACTTATCTCTGTTGCTTCCTTGTCAAATTTACAACTGGTTTCCTGACCAGAGCTGTTTCTTGGCACCAGAATAGCTGGAAAACAATACTATTACGTATTGTTTTCATTTTATTGTAAATGTTTTCAATTGTTTTAGCTATCAAGCCTAGCTTGGAAACTTGAGGCAAAAAAATTCCTTCAGCTGAGAACTCCCTCTTCTGTTCACTTAGGCAGCTGGATGGAGGACAGTGCTTCTGGCTGGAAGCCAGGGTGTTAGCAGTTTGCCAATGTGCTATTGTGTGATCTAGGAAAAGACCCTTAAGCTCTTTGGATCGTGGTCAGATTGCCCAAATTCCATGAAAGTTCCCAAATCTACTTTGTCCCACTTGTTCCCTGCTTACTGCCCTACTTGGACCTGCTGAGTTGCTGCTTGGAAGCCTGCATCTCTGACTCGGTGCCGTGGGACAGGTCGTACTCAGGCTAGCTGGAAATTGCCCTTTTTATTTGTCCATTTACACACAAAAAAATGTTACTAAACCAGCTTTTGTCCTGCTTAATAAAGTGGTTGGAAATCTACTGATTTTGTATGTTGATGGTTAGCTATTTTTATTAACTATATTTAATCTCTTGAAGTGTGAATGACATTTACGCCACTAACAGCCTGAAGTACTGAGGTGGTAAGAATATCCTCTGTCACTTTTTAGTTAAAATCCCTTCTGTTCCACTGACTGGCTCCTTTGTTTGGCCCTTCAGATCTCTTGTCACCCTCTTTCAGTCATGTCCTCACTGACAATTCGTTGTTTTCTGAGCTGATACAGTGCTCCCACTGCTCTGCTGCTTTTCAGAAAGCCCAGGCTGCCCTGAATGTCATAGTTCTCATTACTGCTCTACTGCCCACCAGTTTCCAATCCACCCCTGAAATCCCTTGTAACCAC